TCATCTTTCTTCCCTGATATGCCTCAGTTATGGATTTCAGGTTACTATGAACTGCCTCCGGTGACCTCTCTTACCAAAGGTACTTATCCAGCGGTCTTCTGTATTTAGCCCAAAATTAATTCAGAATTTTATTCCTTGGCCTAGGAAAAGCTTTCAGTTCCTGTCCCTACCTCCACTTCCCAAAAAATAATTTTAATGGACTTTGTATGTACATGCTTTTAAAAACTAACTATCATTTCCAAATAGACTTTCGCTACTGGTTGCCAAAACAAACATTCTCACTTCGGGGGGCCCTGCAGCTTGTTCCAATCTAATGATGAATACTTTTGAAAGCACTAATCGTCTCTAGAAGTGTTAATCCAGAAACAGCTCATTTTAATGAAGCAGGGCTCATTTCTAATAGTTATCTCATTTCAAATATATGAACCCTAGGTAGAACACATCATATTTCTTATCTTTAATTGTGAGAGGAGGGGGCCCCTCAGACATGGGAGCATTGTGTTTAAATTTTTAAAGTTTGAATTCACATTTAGAACATTGTAGTTCTGTAAACTGTTTCAAGGCACACCCTGAAAGGAGCGCAAGGTGCCTTATCCACAAGTCAGAAGCTGTGATAAAGTACTCTATTTCACCAGTCTCTATTCCAGTTTCTCAACTGTTCACAGCAAGTGACATTCAGAAGTGCCTAGATGACTTAAGAGCTTAATTTCCACTGAAAGTCAATGGGATCTAAGCTTCTAAATCACTTCATTTTCAAATGCACCTACTCGGCATCCCTTCTTTTTCAGAGGGAACCTCAGAGCTATTTGCTGACTTATAACTATATACAAAATCGAGCAAGTTGATCATTACTCTATTGTATCAATACCTTTGAGGCACTAGAATAGTACCTGAGTGGATATATATTCAGAAGTTAGTATTTATTTATTCAAAATGTTAAGTCTTAAGTCAGGCATTAACACAATTTTTAAAACAATCCAATTAAAACAGCTCAGTTTATAGCTTTTTGCTATATAATTGACATTAGCTCTCCAATCTGAGTATTCCAGTCTACACCTGAATTACAAAAATTAAAAAAAAAGTTAATTTTAAGGAAGAATCCTTTCAGGCGATCTTTATACCTCAAAAAACGTATTAAAAACCCCCAATTTTTCCACTATGCAGTTATTTAGGAAACACAGCTTAGAAAGCTAAGTGTGAAACATTTAAACATAAAAACAGCCCTTGGTATATTCTCTTTGTATTAGTATAGGGCCTATATTTCATACTTTGATATGAAGTAGGAATCTTTGAGGCTCTGTTGCCTCCTTACTGCTTCTTGTAAAAGATAGGCCTCTGACTTGTAATTCTTCACTCAGTCCTCTCCAGAGTCAAGATTTAACATATTATCTGCATTTCAGTTACATTAGTCTCCCTCTTCTGCAGCACTGCCAAGTTGGTGGATGTTCTGCTGGGGGATGGGAGAAACTTTCACTTCAGCTTCCCTGACCACTGTACCTTTTTCTAGGGTAAAGGGTATCAGAAAACCATGAGTTCCCACCCATGGCTGTTTATATTTCTCTGGACTGACATTGAGCAAAGCACCATATCCCTACCATAGGAAGCAGGCAAGTATCACCACTGTGCCCCATTTTACAAATAGAAAGGGTTTTACAAGAGCATTTTTGGCAGAACTAGAATGGAATCTAGTTCTTCAATGACAGACCCACATTTAATCCATTCAGCCACAGTGCCTTTCAGAATAAATGTACCAAAATGTATGTACTGTACTTGGCTATTCTGTGTAATAAACCACCCTGTTCCCCTTCCATGGCTAGAATCCCAGAACTGTTCAGTATCCTCCTCTTCCTCCCTTCTAGTAGCTGGCCCACTGAGGATAAAATTTATTCCTTTATCTCAAGTGGTAGAGATCTGTGTGGGGAGTCTAAAGGGCCCAGCTTCAAACCCAGCTATTGAGTCATGAAGGGGATCTTTGTAGAACTTAGTTTTTCAAGTTTTTTTTTGTTTTGTTTTTTTGTTTTTATTAAAGAACCCACGTTTTTGACTCACAATGACAAAACATCTTTAAAAACAGGTTTTAAGTTAAAATTAATATCAGTTATGGTGCATCCTAAAAAGATATTGGTGTTCCACATTCAAGTAATCTGGTACACACTCCAGTTGCTTAAAGATAAAGTATGTCACGTATGCCCTTCAATTTGACATATGCAGTGAAGTCTTAGGGAGAAGTTAACACCTTAAGAATTAGAGCCACATATTTCATTATTTCAACTGTCTATAGCTACTCTTTGAAACTTATTTCATTTCACTGGTAGACTCGCCAAGGTATACATTGTCATTATGCCAACACTTTTATAATACAATTGAGACATCAAAACACTCAAGAGGAAGGAAATGGAGTACAAGCCATCCCAGCACCATTCCAATTAGACTGTATTGTGAATAGTTCTGTGTCAAAGGGTCCAGCAATATCAAGTATTATTGCAAATTTCAATACTTAGAAACAGTTAGGATCAAACTGTCAAAAGTGTCAAGCTCCAAGAACTCCAACTGCCTCAGGATGGAACGGCTACTGCTCAGCACTTCTGACAATCAGACCCTTAGCTTAAAATAATGTAGTGCAACTGTACAAGTGATACACAAGATGGTTATAAACCATCAGTGAGAGAAGCTATGTGCAATAATAATCTAAACTGAAATGTTATATTTAACTACTATAGGTTCATACAAGATCCCTTTAATACTAGAGTGCAAGGGTGTCAACCATACAGCCTGCAAGATGGATCCAGCCTCTCTGATGTATCTTTATGGCCTGCATGACAAATTATGCAGAAAATATTCATGTTAAGAGTTTTTAGTACTCACAGTTGCAAAGAAAGCCTTCAAAATGTGATCCAAGTGTAAAACTAATATGGGTGGTCTTCCCAAAGTCTGCAGGCAGCCTGAAACAACAGCTCTAGAAGTATGGATGTTCCACCTCCTATCTCAAAGACAGTTAACTCTAAAGCTCAGTTACAAGGTTACTTCACTTGCTAAAAAGGTGAGCAGTAAAATGGGAAAAGGAGTGGAAATGTTCCCCTTGGAAGAGAGAACTAGGCATTGCTGCAGTTAAGGGAACCTGAGGGAAAGACAGAACACAAACAGGGATGAGGGAGAGAAAAAAGAATAATGGAGGAAAAACAAAAGGCTAGAAATAATGGTCCTAATGATAAGCATGTTCTTCCACTAAGTGGTACTGAATAAATAATAGTGATAACCAGATGTTCAATTGCCACTTCTAATTTTGATCCTAGTATAAGCCTCCTACCAAAAGTAAGTAGTCTGGTGTGGACTGAGTGATGTGTGTAAATCTAGATTTATAACCTGTCCCACTGAACATAGAGTGAAATTCAGCCCTCTCCACCAACCAAGTTTAACACCACTTATCTTGTAATTAGACCAAGGGATGAGGATTTATTATTCCTGGATTTTGGAAGAGCTAGGAACAAAGCTTTCTAATATTTAACTTTGTGTAAGTCCCAGCCTTTCCATCTGTAGTTAAGATATTGGCCCTGCCTCAAGGCGGGTCAAGCTGTAATTTGTAAGTTGCTTAGACATCCTAGGCAGGAAGCCACCATTCAAAAGACAGAGTACTACTTCAGGTCACATCATCTTGGCATACACCACACTTCTATTAACACTAGAAAGGAACCTTACTCAGGAGGTAATATTGCTGCTGAAAGCTTAAGCTGACCGGGATATAGGAAGGCCAGAAACTGATAGCATGTTTGTTTAACAACATCAGTAGTGATCTTAGTGCTTACAAGCGGCTCAAGTGACAGCATGGGCAAAGTGACTGTCCATTCATGTACTGCACAAATGGACGTGAGCAAGAAAGTTTCTTTACACATCTTCCCCTCTCCCTCAAGTGTGTCTCAGCGCTGACCTAAAGAACACCTACAAGGGAGAGATGGTCAAGTTTCCAAGCTCCATTAAGTGATAATATGGTGGCAATGCATGCCAGGCATACAATTCTTGGCCTCTCCAAAACTACCAGACACGCCCAGTATGTTAAAGGCTGGAAACTTGCAAGTTCACCAACTCATTTCACAGTATCCCTGTATCCTGTCAGGGACTAACAACAGTGGATCAATACCACCTGGGCTGCGGACCAACCCGTTGGACCCTTAGTAACACTGCCCCATGCCCACCTCCTGGGGACGGATGTGGACATTTCCCAGAAGCATGGAGCCCTCCGACTGTTACACAGCCTGGCGGCCCATCCCACCCCTGCCCCGTCCCTGTTAGTGCAACACACCTGCCAGCACCTTCGCTGGAGGCTACGCTCCTACCCCAGCGCCCCTTACCCCTGGGCCTGTCTCTTACCGCCTTTGGGCTTAGATTCCCCAGCGGCCGGCCCGGCCGAGGCGGAGCGGGTCTGCTGCCCTTTGCTGCCGGCCGAGGAGCCGGGGATCCCGGAGCTGCAGGGGCTGTTCTTGTCCATGTCGGAAGCTGAGGCGGGGGCCGCGCTGGGCGAGCTCTGCAGCATCAACGGGCGCCCCGACGGCGCTGGGGAGTGGAGAGCAGCGGCTCTGAGCTGGGGGGCAGGACGGGCACTGGGGGAGGCGACGGGGGCCCAGGCTCATGGCCCGCGAAGGGGACCGACAGGGGCGGCGCAGCGCTGACTCGGCCTCCTTCATGGCGACATCTTCTCGCTGCTCCGCTTAAACAGGGAGAGAGCCGGGAGGAGGCCGGGCCGGGCCTGCGGGGCTCCGGGGGGGTGGCAACAGGACGGGGAGCCCCGCGGGGCCCGGCACTGGCTGCGGTGGGGGGGGTCGGCGCCGCCCAGGCAGCGCGGGCTCCTTGGCGCCGCTCCTACGGCTACCGCGTACCGTAGCTGTTCCCCTGTAATGGCGACGAGTCGCCAACAGCAAGACAAGAACCCGGATGGAACTCACTATATAGGAGCCGGCTGTCCCAATGTATGCTGGGAGTTGTAGTTCTCTGATGAGTCTGGGTGGACTTGGTTTGCATTCGCTATCGTAAGGCATTATGGGAGGTGTAGTTCTTAGTGTTTCATGCTATTAGTTCTCTGCATTGTTTTGTATTATCCGGAGCAGAGCATTGTGGGAGTTATCATTCTTTTCACATCTGAGTTAGTTTTGAGACTACTTCATAGAATCACCTAAATCTGCAACCCCAGAATATTGTAAAGCAATTTTATTGTCTTTCACGTATAGATGAACCAACCTGTGTTACGTGCATGTTACAGAATCATATCACAGAAAACTACTAGAGAGACAAGGTGGATGACTAAGGTAATATCTTTTATTGGACCAACTTTTGTTGGTGAAGGAGACAGGCTTTTCAGCTACACAGAGCTCTTATACCTTTTATTAGACTAACTTCTATTGTGAAGCAAGACAAGCTTTTGAGCTTACATAGAGCTCTTCCTCAGGTGGCCTCAGCTCTGTGTAAGCTCAAAAGCTTGTTTTCCTCACCAACAGAAGTTAGTTTTTTATGATACCTTTATCCAGGCTTCTTGCTTTCTCTCAAAAGTAAACTATACCAATCTTTTCAATCTCTTGTCATAAAAGAGTTTTTCCATCCCCCAATCATACTCATAGCTTGTTTCTACACTCCCTCTAATTCTACAATATCTTTTTTGAGATGGAGTGAATATTGAGTACTGTGACCAGTACTGAACATTGTATTCCAGGTGCGGGTGAAACACTAGTTTATACAATGACATTATAATACTTTCTGTATCATTCCCCATCCCATTCCTTGTACATTCTAACATTTTGTTTGCATTTTTTACCACAGCTGTACATTGACCAGAGATCTTTGTTGAACTTCCCACACCAATACCCAGGTCCATTTCCTGATCTGATCCATTTAATTTAAACCTTTTTAAGGTGTATGGGTAGTTTCAATTTTTCCCTCCAATGTACATTATTTTATATTTATCAACATGAATTTCATCTGTCATCATGTTGCCCTTTCACTGAGCTCGTTTAGGTCTTTCTACCATTCCTCATAGTCCTCATTGGACACCATACAATAATTTTGTGTCATCTACAAATTTTGCCACCTCACTGTTCACCCCCTTTTCCAATTTATGTGCCTGTACTAGTATTTTAAAACTGGGTGGAAAATCAAGGTATAAAGCAAAATATCAATACAGGCTGTAGTTGTTTCCATCTTGCTAATGGGTTACATATGCAGAAGGATTGCAGGTCATGACAGAGACTCAATAAAATGCTGCCTCCCTTGAAGGATCCAATATCTCATAAATGTGAGGCAACATGCCCCATAATAACCCTGAGGGTTAGAGAACGTCAGCTACTGTCCCACATTTCTTGGAATCTATTAGAACTTCTGCTTCATTTTAGCATTTTCTGCCAAAAAGAAAGTATGAAAATGAGAATTTGTATGAGTCAACAAATTATCTAGATAGTCTGCTGACCAAGAGGTGGAAACCTAAATACTAAGGTGATGAATCCATCAAAAATGTACCACTAGCTATCTAGATGCTTAGAAAGATAAAACAAACTTAGTACATTACCCTTATTTAGTATATTAATGTGTCTGGTCAAGGTAAAGGAGGTCCAGAGGAAGAAGTACCTTTGTACTTTAGTATCTCCTTATCTTCATATTTATGAAGATACCAATTTTAACCTTCATATCTATTTATCTGCTTCTCCCTCAAGTCTCTTCACTTTCTTCCTCTTTCTTCATGTCCTAAATACATGGAATGCCCTCCCCACACTTGTCCAGTCCATCTAACCCAGTATCCTGTCTTTCAACAGTGGCCAATGCCAGCTGCCCCAGAGGGAATGAACAGAACAGGTAATCATCAACCATCAACCACAGGTTGACTGTGCGTTGTGTGAAAAAATACTTCCTTTTGTTTTAAACCTGCTGCCTATTAATTTCATGTGGTGGCCCCTAGTTCTTATGTTATGAGAAGACCCATTACTTCTGCAAAGCCATGTAAACTTAGCTAAATCATCAAGTTATTTATTTCATGAGTGAACTACTCATTTAAGAGAAGGGGTTGATAAGGAGTAAACTAATCAGTTGTGAACATGGCTCACTAGGGCCCTGAGCCTACAATTTTCTGCATGGGCAGAGGCACTTGCTCTCATGGAGCCCCAGTGAAGTTAAAGGGGCTCCAAAATCAAAATGTCAAAGGGGAAGGGCTACGCAAAATTAATTGCAGGATTGGCGCTTAGTCTTATAAGCTGTATCCCTTTGTCTGTCTTTTTCAGTTGTGATCCTGCAAGTTGTTCTACATAAGTGGATCCCTGAGTCAAACAGTGTCTTTTTCTGGTTTGCGGAAGTGTGTAACACATTATTTTGGGCGCTACCACAATCTAAATAATAATGTACAAAGCTTTGGGTATTTGATATGTTCTGTTCTAAACTACACAAACTTAAGTACCTACAAAAAAGTCAATAAACAGATCAGACCACAATGGAGTTATAACACACACACTCATGTACCTGACATTTGTAATAGCATATTTAAATTTTAAATGCAGGTATGTTTCTGCTTAGCCAGGGCGTTCAGTCACGTTCAAACATGTATTAAAAGCAGGTGTGGTTAAACTGGTTTATGAAGTTGTTTGACTTACATGTGAACATGACTATGGGCCAGATCCTCAAATGTATTTAGGTGCATAACTTCCATTGAAATCAATAGGAGTTAGGTTCCTAAATGCATTCATGGATCTGGGCCTTTATAACCATGCATATTATGGTGTCTATACATTGATACAAATGCCCACATTTGAGAAAAAATCAGTCCTAAATGAGGACAACTAAACTTAACTAAAACTTGTAACCTGCTAGAGGTTCTTAGCTGAAGAGTACTATGTGAGCTATTGGAAAGTAGTACCCTAAATGCTGCTTTGCCTATATTTATTGTGCAGCTCTTACTCACCTGCTTGGTTCACTGATGTGGCAACTGAATGAGGGTTGTGGGCTTAGATGTTACATTAGAAACGAGCGCCTGAGAGAATGGCATTGATTTCAGTATTTCCTCAGAGCACAGGACCAGAGGTGTGGGGGTTGGAGGTCGCAGTGCAGGGTCCAGGTGAAGGGCGGTGGGATGGGGGTCATGGTGCATGCAGGGCCACTAGGGTGACCAGCTGTCCCAATTTTATAGGGACAGTCCCGATATTAAGGGCTTTCTCTTATATAAGGGCTTATTACCCCCCACCCCGTCCTGATTTTTCACACTTGCTACTGTGTGGTGACCCTAGGGGCCGCAGGGAGAGACACGAAGGCAGTGGGGGTTGGGGGTCGCGGGGCGGGGTCCCGGGGCAGACGCGAGGGGCGGGCGGTCCGCGGTCGAGGTGCGGAGGGGGCGGGCGGGAGAGACGCGAGAGGCGGCGGCGGTGGGGTCCCGGGGCAGACGCGAGGGGCGGTAGATCCGGGGTTGCGGTGCTGAGCCGAGGGGAGAGACACGAAAGGCAGTGAGAGTTGGGGGTCGCGGTGCGGGGTCCCGGGGCAGGCGCGAGGGGTGGAAAATCCGGGGTTGTGGCGCGGAGCTGTGGGGGGAATAGAGACGCGAGAGGCGGGGGGGGTCGCGGGGCGGGGTCCCGGGGCAGGCGCGAGGGGCGGTAGATCCGGGGTTGTGGCGCGGAGCTGTGGGGGGAATAGAGACGCGAGAGGCGGGGGGGTGGGGGTGGCGGGGCAGGCGCGAGGGGCGGTCGGTCCGCGGTCGCGGTACAAAGCCCATTTCTCTGGGTGGGAGGCGAACGTGCCCCAGCACCAGAGATCCCAAGCCCCTGTTTCCTCGGGAACCGCTCGCCCCTCCCCTCAGCTGCACGTTCCGTGGGCCCAGCTTCGGGTTGGCTGTTACCTAGTAAAACCCGCCCTCCCTGCCGTATGGCCAGTGAGAATCACGCGCTTTATTTACGCCTCTCCAGGCGGGCTTTCAATTGGCTGAGACGGAAGTGTCACATGACTCGGAGCTTCGTTATGCGAGTGCAAAGTTCACGCCGCTACCAAAGATGGCGGCCTCTATTGGAGTGGCGGCTTGTCGGGCTCTGCACAGCCGCTGCCGTGGGAAGTTGTTGTCTATAGGTCGGGGGCTCTTCAGTGGGGCGCGGTGCTTTGTCGCGGAGGGGGAGACGAACTTCGGATTCCAGACTGTGTCGGAGGCGGAGAAAGGGGAGAAAGGTGAGGGGGGCAAGAGCAAGGCGGGGCGACTGGGACGGGGATCTAGCGGGCGAAGTGGGAGACTCTGCGGAGGGAGGAGGACGAGATGGGAAGAGATTGCTGGGCCGTCCAATGCCCCAGTGACTGGTGTACTGTACGAGGCAGTGCGGTCCAGTTATTGTGAAACAAAATGGACCGAGGAGACCTGGGTTCTGTTTCTAGTTGTGTCGCTGATCCCCTGGTGAGACTCCCCAGGCAAGTCACTTGCTCTCTCCATATATTCTTTCTTCTCCCTGTGTCTGGTCATTTTATAGTGAGAGCTCTTTGTGCTAAGGAGTGTTTTTTGCTTTGTATCTGAACAGTGCCTTGCACAACAGATCTCTGATGTTGGTTGGAACTTGTTAGAGCTACCCTAATACGAATATTTAAACCTTTTCAACAGGTGCGTTGTGTACCTCAAGGATTAGCTGTCTGAGGGATGAGAGTGTCCTAGCAAGTTGATGGTTATTTGAATGCTTTCACTTAATCCAAATATAAATAACTTTTCAAACAAATTGCACTTTGTTCACATGGTGTTTTCTAGATTGGGACCGTGGTGAAACATAGGAATGTGTTGAAAGTAAATGCATGTAACAAAATATAAACTTTGTGAAGTATGATAATCTAACTAATGAGATTAAAAAAATAGGATTCTTGCCTGAGACGTTATGGGGTCATGTGTTAGTATAGACCTAGGAAGAGGACAGTGAATACATAGAAGTGAATTTAAGTGACATGCTTCGCCCTGCTACCTCAAAGTGATATATATTGCATTATAATGTAATTTTATTTCAGTTTACCGTGTATTTGAAAGTGTGGCCAAGAAGTATGATATAATGAATGATTCAATGAGTCTGGGGATTCATCGGCTCTGGAAGGATATCCTGCTGCATCAAATGAACCCTTACCCGGGAACTCAGCTGTTAGATGTTGCTGGAGGGACAGGTACATTCCATTTTATTTCTAGTACTTTTATTAAGGAATACTATTTGCTGGAGTAATGATTCCTTAATGGAGAGCAGAAATTAATCTACCTATATATGAAAATGGAAAATAAGTACAGTATAGACAATAGAAATCATAGTTGCACTTATTACAACATTTACATGACTTTATAGAGAACACTGTATAGTGCAGTAGTCCTCAAACTGTGGGGCCTGCCCCCTAGGGAGGCGTGGAGGAACATTCAGGGGGTCCTCAGGGAGGGAGTGCCACCCAGCCCTGCTCTGGCCCCAGTCCCAGTCCCAGCCTTGGCTTCAGTCCCTGGGCTCCCGAGGGCGTGACCAGATTACATTCCGGGTAAGTGGGGACACAACATAAAAAGTTTGGAGACAACTGGTCTGGTGGCTAAATGATGGGCCTGAAGTCAGGAATACTGGGTTGTATTATTTGCTCTGCCGCACACACACTATGACCTTAAGCAAGTAATTTACTGCTCTGTCCCTCTGGAGAATGAGGATAACTTCTGCCCTTCAAGGGGAAGGGTTGAGTCTTAGGCTTTGTCTACACTGCCACTTTACAGCGCTGAAACTTTTTTGCTCAGGGGGTGTGAAAAAACACCCCCTGAGCAATGCAAGTTTCAGCGCTGTAAAGTGGTGGTGTTGACAGTACGCTAGCGCTGGGAGCAACTCCCCTCATGGGGGTGGTTTTTTTTACAGCGCTGGGAGAGCTCTCTCCCAGCGCTGGTGCTGCAACTACACAGCCAGCAGCGCTTTAATGTTGGTAGTGAATACATACCCTTAGTTTTCTAACGTTTTGAAGCATTTGAGATCCTTGGATAAAGCTGCTCTAGAAGTGCAAAGTATTACGCTTATAGAAAAAATGATTATTTACCTTTTGTAACTGCCGTTCTTTGAGATGTGTTGCTCATGTCCATTCCATGTTAGGTTTGTGCACTCACTATGTGCACTGGTGCGGGAAGTTTTTCCCTCAGTGGTATCTGTAAGGACTGGCCCTGGAGCCACCAGGAGTGGCATATGCATGTTCGCCAATATAAGGGTGCCACTGGCCCCCTCCCTCAGTTCCTTCTTGCCACCAGTGACAGTGCTGGAAACGTTTTCTTTATCCAGTGTTTTTTTCACTATCACATTGTGTAAATAGTTCTAGATAAGTAGTTTCTTTGTTCTCTTAATGACTAGCAAATTGTATTGCAGATAAGTTAGATAGTCACCTCTAGGACTTAGCCCAGGGAGGAGGCACGCCCTGTCCCTGGGCTTCTAGCCTTGTGATCGCTGTAAAAAGCCTATGTGGATCAACGACCCGACCTGTATCAAAGTTACCTGAAGTATTTGGGAGAAGCCCTCATTAATGCTAAGTGTCCCAGCATCTGCAAGAGCTTCCAGCCAAGAACTAAAAAGGAGCAGGACATAAGTGCTCCTCATGGAGTCGGCCCTCATGCCAGTCTCCGAGCCGCCGAGATCAGACTCTGCAGCAAGCGCAGCAGCATGGGTGCAATGTGTGCCACTGCAACTGGTCTCCCGGCTCCGGTCCCAATCCCCGGTACCTGCTAAGAAGCAGGGGAAGCACACTGGGAGAGGGCATTCCCCAACATCCTGGATGGGAAAGGGAAAGTCCAGAGTGGAGCAGGGCAGCAAGACTCCAGAGCCCGGCCAGGCACCTGCGTCGCCAGCTAAGCTATCTAGTCCTTCTAGGGATCCACCAGCCACCCCTTACGCTCATAGAAACTCTGTTTCAACTAACAATAATGGGAGAAACAGACTTGTTAATGTTTCATCTAAAAAAATATAGCTAGGGAGCATGTTAGGTCCAGTTTACCTAAATATTAAAAGTCCTAACTTCCTGATGAATATTTAATTTTTATAATATCAGAAAATATTCCACATTTTGCATCTTCCTTTCAAAACTAATACAGGTGACATCGCCTTTCGGTTTATCAATTATGTTCGTTCCCAGTGGGAGCACCAGATCAGACAGAAACTGAAATCCCATCAGAATTTATCATGGCAGGAAATCTCTAAGAGTTACGAGGAAGAGGAACTTAAATTGCCAGGAGGCTCCCAAGTGGTGGTCTGTGACATTAACAAGGAAATGCTAAAAGTTGGAAAGCAGAAAGCACAACATCTTGGCTATTCTAAAGGTAAGTCCTGCGTTATATCACTTCTGTAGTAGGTCTCTGAGTGATAGAAATTTAGATTTAAAAAATCCTTATGTAACAATAGTCCAAAATTCTACTTGCTTATTTGCCTGGAGCAGTAACTTTTCTGATGGGCAAATATCAGGTGCAGGATTTTTATCATCAACAGTATGGAAAGAGAGGGTAAGTAAGATGATGTACAAGAGCTGGCCAATTGTCATGATAATTCAGCAACTAGGAGTTATGCTCCCTATGGAAAAGGAGTACTGGTGGCACCTTAGAGACTAACCAATTTATTTGAGCATAAGCTTTCGTGAGCTATAGCTCACGTCTCTAAGGTGCTACAAGTACTCCTTTTCCTTTTGCGAATACAGACTAACACGGCTGTTACTCTGAAAGCTCTCTATGGAGGCACCGTGAGTCTCTTTAATACTTGTATCCCTTTGAAAATACAAGTCTGAGGATTAATCTGAAGCCCAGTGTTTGATTCTCCTTCAGAATCAGCCAATGAGCAAAACGCTGCTCTGTTACACCTGTGCAATTCCCCTGAATTTAGTCAAGCTGAGTAGGTATGAAACAGGATAGTTTGGCCCTAAGAATCTGACTACACCACAGATTTCAGAAGGTATACTTTAAAAATAAAGGCAGCAAATTAAAAATGTCATGAGTCCAAAAAAAAAACCACCAAGAAACAAGCCTATATAGCGATGATAATACCTGCCACAGAGAATGGGTTATAGTGCTTTTGGAATCTGAATCGTATTAAATATTTAGTTTGCAGGTCAATGGGGTAATCCATGTTGGTCCTTTCAATCAGGATTAATTTAAGAAGTAAGTAATAAATTGTGCTTAATACACAGTATTTGTAGAATAGTTGTTTGTCCTCTCCCACTTTAATTAGAGAAACATTTCTTAAATAAGATTTACTATATGTATTTAAATGTGGTATATTTTATGTAAGACTTTCAGTTTTAAATTGGTTTTAAAAACACTGTTTTTAATACCAGCCCTTGTTTCAAATTAAACTAAAGATTTATCAGCAGTAACTGGAAGATACAGTCAATCTCAACGTTTGAAGTACCCCTGAAACGTTTAAAACTTGACTGAAAACATAAACAGAATTTCAACTCCCTCATTTCCTCTTGATGAACTTTTTGGGGAGCAGGTAATATTTTTAGTGTTACATACCCCCAAACCAATTACTACACCCTGCTCTCTCTGCATTCCTGATTACGTCATTGGTGCAAGTACTGCATAGAGAAATAACTGTTGAGGAAACAGATCAATGTTTCCCAATCAGAGAGAAAATTAGTAAGGTAAAAATCTTTTTTTTTTTTTTCCCCCCCCAGGCTTAATCAAAAGAATTGCAAATATTGGTGAGCACCTAAAGATAATTAATTGTTTCTCCTTTTTTAAGGTGGAGAAGAAAATGTGCTATATGTAGGCCACATGACATAAAGGAATCCTGTAGAGGGCTCATTTTGTATTGTGGTGATGCAACACTGAATGACTTTAATAATGTCTGTGATTTTCTGCCCTCATCCCCGTCTTAGTAGTTGCTTAAGTAAGCTGATGATTTCTTGTAGAAGTAACTTAGTCATCTAGGCTGATGTGTGCACTTGGATGATGTACTTGGAAACTAGATAAGATCATTTTGCTTTCAAATGCCTGTTCTCTCATATCAGTTCCAACTCCTTGATTTCTTCTCTGTTACCCTCTGACTTCATGCCTTCTTCCAGAAGGGGGAGCTCAAAGGTCAAACACTGGGTTGTCTGGCCTCTTGAATTGTAGCCCATCTCTGTTACTACAATAATCTTTTGTTGCTCTCCAGTGCTGATAAATAGAGAGACAATAACCAGTGTGTTCAAACAAAGAAATATTGTTTTGGGGCAACTTTTTATGAAATGTCTGCATTTCATAAAATCCATATAAAGCTCGGGAACTCCAATCTGTGGATGGAACAGGACATTTGTTCCTACCAGTATTCGTCTATTTTTAAAAAATGTATATGACTCCAAAATTATTTAATTCCACCCTATGATTCTTCCTTCTGTAGGTGTATAGGATTCATGACAACAGTTTACCTTCTGTCATGAAGGTCATTCTGACATCAGTACAGATGGGTACATTTTCAGTGTTTTGTGGGCTTTGTACAACTCATTGCAAAAACTATCTCCAAGAGTGATTGTAATAGTGAGAACGTTGCAGAAGCGAATCCTTACATTAAAACACAAGGGCAGCCAAATAGCTGTTGCTCTCTTCTGCCATGCAAAAGATGTAGGTTCAGTCTTATTCCCCCAATCTGGAGTACAGTGGGTACAGCATACCTAGCTCCAGTGGGGAGGAGGAGGTCTTTGATTGATTTAGGAACAAGTTTGTTGGACTTCTTCCTTGTCTGATGAGGAATTGCCATGATGCAGGACCTTGAAGGGTAGCAGGTATAAACTTGAGGTGTCCTCCCCCACTAAAAAGAAGAATCACAGTATGATTTAAAAATTATATATTAGGGCTGCTGATTAATCGCAGTTAACTCATGTGATTAACTCAAAATTAATCGCAGTTTTAATCACACTGTTAAACAATGGAATACCAATTGAAATTAATTATATATTTTGGATGTTTTTCTGCATTTTCAAATATAGTGATTTCAGTTACAATGCAGAATACAAAGTATGCAGTGCTCACTTTATATTATTTTTATTACAAATACTTGCACTGTAAAAATGATAAAATAGTATTTTTCAATTCACCTTATACAAGTACCATAGTGCAATCTCTTTATCCTGAAAGTGCAACTTACAAATGTAGATTTTGTTTGTTTGTTACGTAATTGCACTCAAAACCAAAACAGTGTAAAACTTTAGAACCTAAGTTCACTAGGTTCTTCTACTTGTTCAGCCAATCGCTAAGAGAAACCAGTTGGTTTATGTTTACGGGAGATAATGCTGCCCACTTCTTATTTACAGTGTCACCTGAAAGTGAGAACAGATATTCGCGTGGCACTTTTGTAGCTGGCATTGCAAGGAGCTAAACATTCGTATGCCCTTTCATGCTTTGGCCACCATTCCAGAGGACATGCTTCCATCCTGATGGTGCTCATTAAAAAAAATGTGTTAATTAAATTTGTGACTGAACTCCTTGGGGGAGAATTGTATGTCTCCTGCTCTGTTTTTACCTGCATTCTGCCATATATTTTGTGTTATAGCAGTCTTGGATGATGACCCAGCATGTTGTTCGTTTTAAGAACACTTTCACTGCAGATTTGACAAAACGCATAAAAGGTACCAATGTGAGATTACTAAAGATAGCAACAGCACTCGACCCAAGATTTAAGAATCTGAAGTGCCTTCCACAATCTGATCCGGATGGGGTGTGGAGCATGCTTTCAGAAGTCTTAAAAGAGGAACACTCCAAAGCGGAAACTACAGAACCCAAACCACCAAAAACGAAAATCAACCTTCTGCTGGTGGCATCTGACTCATGATGATGAAAATGAACATGCATTGGTCTGCACTGCTATGGATCATTATCAGGTAGAACCCATCATCAGCATGTCCCCTGGAATGGTGGTTGAAGCATGAAGGGACATATGAATCTTTAGCATGTCTGGCACATAAATATCTTGCAATGCTGGTTACAACAGTGCAGTGCAAACGCCTATTCTCACAGGTGACATTGAAACACAGTGGGGAGCATTATCTCCTGCAAATGTAAACAAACTTGTTTGTCTGAGCAATTGGCTGATCAAGAGGTAGGACTGAGTGGACTTGTTGGTGCTAAAGTTTTACATTATTTTTGAATGCAGTTTTTTTTTTGTACATCACTCTACATTTTTAAGTTCAGCTTTCCTGATAGAAAGATTGCACTACAGTACTTGTATTAGGTGAACTGAAAAATGCTATTTTTTATTTTTTTTACAGTGCAAATACTAGTAATAAAAATAAATATAAAGTGAGCAATCCACACTTTGTATTCTGTGTTGTAATTGAAATCAATATATTTGAAAATGTGGAAAAATCCAAAAATATTCATTTAAAATAGTATTCTATTAATGTTTAACAGTGCAATCAATCGTGATTAATTGTTTTAATCACTTGACAGCCCTATTATATATGTATTACCTTTTGCCAAAACAGAGTGAAGAGCTAGTCTTTCTGCAAGTTTTCTGGGATGAGCAACACCTAGTATCTGTGTGTGTGCGTTTGTTTTTGGTTTTTTTTAAGGCTTGTCCTGGGTGGTTGGGAATGCTGAAGAGCTGCCCTTCAATGACAACAAGTTTGATGTTTACACAATTGCCTTTGGAATACGGAATGTAACTCATATTGACCAGGTAAGCAGGGGCAATATGTCCTGGGATACACAGTTCTCCTGGGTTTTCTGGGCGCCAAGAAAAGAAGAAACACTCTTGTATGAGGAAACCTCTGTTTCAACTTCTCGCATGTAAAAGAAAGTGGGATGTAGCCCTACAGTTTGCTTGAATGAAAAGAAATTGAGGTTAATAAATATCCTGCCCTTCTAGGAGCATCATAGGGTTCAGATTTTTATCATGGAGATAAGCATGGTATAAATACTTGCATACATTTTTCTGGAAAGCTCTGAGTAGTCCTTTCTTAAAAATTAGAAAATATTTGTAAACACTCTAGCAAGTAATGTCACCTGTTCTAATTGGGACCTGGTATTTTGAGATTGATTGGTTATAACTGTTCTGCCTGAAAGGATATTTTTGATCGCTTTTTTTTTAGGGGGGAATCTCTTCACAAACTGGTAATAGCATGTAATGTTCCATGCTCTGAGATGTACTTTGACTCCTTAAAATGTCATTACTTGTTTACACAACTGATGAAAGTCTTTCTGCATGTCAGCTTCTTTTTGCTTCTGGTTTTGTAGCGTTATCTCCCCATCTTCAGGAAGAAGATGGATGTAGCTTGAAATCTTATTATGAATCTTTGGATACTTGCTAATAGGCTGCAATACCTAATGTTTAATACCATCCTAAAGCAGGCCAATCACTTCCCAAAAGCAGATATAATTTAAAAATATAATAACGTGCAGCCCTATTGAACCTCTCCTGAGTGGGTTGACTTTAGCCTGACAGAAAGGGACTTATGTGAAAATGTTACCTAATTTAAAGCATACTTACCATTTTAGGCCCACAATGGATAGGTGGGTGGTATTTATTGTCCAAGTCTAAATATTTTAAGTTCCCAGGACACTTGGGTGACTTTAACCAGAACAATCTTTCTTCTGCTTGGACTGTACCCAACCAAAGAAGGTGGAGCATCCATGTTTCACATCCTCATGAGATGTTAATAGGGAGGGTGCTTTCCTACAGTGTGTTCATCCACTTTTGATCTCTCTCAGGCCCTTCAGGAAGCGTATCGTGTGCTGAAACCAGGAGGGAGATTTCTGTGTCTGGAATTTAGTCAAGTCAACAACCCCATTGTTTCCAGGTTGGAATATGACCATTTTTTTCTTTTCTCTTTATTTTTATCCCACACATGAGGGTTTTTCTTGAGCTGGGACAAAAACACATGAAAGAGTCCCAATCCCTTGAAACACGATCACATACTTAAATCCAAACTCTGTAGAAGTCTACAGCAAAGGTGATATACAGAGACTAATTCCTCTTTAGGAAAAAGTTAGTCCTAGTAGGTTTTATTTTGGTGTCTGCATGTTAATTTGCACTTGTCTCTTTGGGCAGGCTCTATGACTTGTACAGTTTCCAGGTTATCCCTGTTCTGGGTGAGATTATTGCTGGAGATTGGAAGTCCTACCAGTACCTTGTGGAAAGCATCCGACGCTTTCCAGCCCAGGTAACAAGGTTCTCTGCTTTGAATATTTAGTGTATAGATTGTCACCATGGGGGCAGCTGGGTTATGGGTAAGGAGACTAGGCCTTTAAGAAGGCATATGCTAGTTTACTTCTGCTAATTGCACAATTACCTCTCTCCACCCACGAGATGCCTAAAGAGGATATGAGAAAGGTCTACAAAATCATGAATAGCGTGGAGAAAGTAAATGAGGAAGTGTTTGCCCCTTCACATAACACAAGAACCAGAGGTCACTCAACAAAATTAATAAGCAGCAGGCTTAAAACAAATGTAAGAAAATACTTCACACAACACAGTCAACCTTTGGAACTCATTGCCATGGATGTTAAGACAAAAATTATAAGTGGGTTCAAAAAATAACTAAGTTTATGGAGGATATGTCCAGCAATGACTATTAGCTATGCTGTCAGTGTCCCTGCCAGAAGCTGGGACTGGATGTTCTGTTCATTCCTTCCAAAGCACTTGGCCCAAGCCCCTGTCAGAAGACAAGATACTGAGCTAGATGGAGCATTGGTCTGACCTAGTATGGCTATTATGTTCTTTATTACTATATTTCAGGAGGTGTTCAAGGCAATGATTGAAGATGCAGGTTTTCTGAAGGTGGAATATCGGAATCTAACAGCAGGCATGGTAGCCATTCACTCAGGTTTCAAACTGTGACCCTCCTATTTTGCAAAGCTCTTGAAGAATAAAGGGTATTTCCCCTGAAGAAGCTAAAAAGCTATGCAACTCCAAAAACTTCACTGCCACAATAGTCTGAGGGGATGGGAAGACTTGGTCCCTCTGCAGAATCTAAAGCTTCAGATTTTGGGTTTCTGAAAAGTTGAAATTATATTCTTACAACCCTGTCAGGACAAAGAATCCCTCTAGCACTTAAGCATTTATGTAAGTATGGGCCAGGTGCTTCATAGCATGTGCTCACTCAACTGATTACCAGTTTCCTAAAACCTCACAGACTTTTATTGGACAATTTGTTTGGTACATAATTCTCTTCTAAAGTACAGTGTGGATATTGCAAAAGGTTTCAGAGTAACAGCCATGTTACTCTGTATTCACAAAAAGAAAAGGAGTACTTGGGGCACCTGAGAGACTAACCACAATTTATTTGAGCATAAGCTTTCAGGAGCTACAGCTCACTTCAGCAGATGCATACTGTGGAGTTTAGAATATCTATTATATACACACACAGCATGAAAAAATACCTCCTCCTACCCCACTCTCCTGCTGGTAATAGCTTATCTAAAGTGATCACTTTCCTTACAGTGTGTATGATAATTAAGGTGGACCATTTCCAGCACAAATCCAGGGTTTAACAAGAACATCTGGGGGGGGGGGGGGTAGGAAAAAACAAGGGGAATTAGGCTACCTTGCATAATGACTAAGCCACTCCCAGTCTCTATTCAAGCCTAAGTCAATTGTATCCAATTTGCAAATGAATTCCAATTCAACAGTTTCTTGCTGGAGCCTGGATTTGAAGTTTTTTTGTTGTAAAATAGCAACTTTCATGTTTGTAATCATGTGACCAGAGAGATTGAAGTGTTTGACTGGTTTATGAATGTTATAATTCTTGACATCTGATTTGTGTCCATTTACTCTTTTACAGAGAGACTGTCCAGTTTGACCAATGTACATGGCAGAGGGGCATTGCTGGCACATGATGGCAGATATCACATTGGTAGATGTGCAGGTGAACGAGCCTCTGATAGTGTGGCTGATGTTATTAGGCCCTGTGATGGTGTCCCCTGAATAGATATGTGGGCACAGTTGGCAACAAGCTTTGTTGCAAGAATAGGTTCCTGGGTTAGTGGTTCTGTTGTGTGGTATGTGGTTGCTGGTGAGTATTCGCTTCAGGTTGTGGGGCTGTCTGTAGGCAAGGACTGGCCTGTCTCCCAAGATTTGTGAGAGTGTTGGGTCATCCTTCAGAACAGGTTGTAGATCCTTAATAATGCGTTGGAGGGGTTTTAGTTGGGGGCTGAAGGTGATGGCTAGTGGGGTTCTGTTATTTTCTTTATTTCCCTGATAATGTCATGGCTAACCTGGTGGCTGAACTTTGACTTTGTCCTTACCCATAATTATTTTACATTTGGAGACAATGTATACCTTCAGATCAGCAGCACTGCTATGGGTACCCGCATGGCCCCACAGTATGCCAACATTTTTATGGCTGACTTACAACAACGCTGCCTGAGCTCTCGTCCCCTAACGCCCCTGCTCTACTTGTGCTATATTGATGACATCATCATCATCTGGACCCATGGAAAAGAAGCCCTTGAGGAATTCCACCATGATTTCAACAATTTCCATCCCAGCATCAACCTCAGCCTGGTCCAGTCCACACAAGAGATCCACTTCCTGGACACTACAGTGCTAATAAACGATGGACACAAACACCACTCTATACCAGAAACCTACTGACCGCTATTCCTACCTACATGCCTCCAGCTTTCACCCTGACCACACCACACAATCCATCGTCTACAGCCAAGCTCTGCGATACAACTGCATTTGCTCCAACCTCTCAGACAGAGACAGACACCTACAAGATCTCTATCAAGCATTCTTACTACAATACCCACCTGCGGAAGTGAAGAAACAGATTGATAGCCAGAAGAGTTCCCAGAAGTCACCTACTACAGGACAGGCCTAACCAAGAAAATAACAGAACGCCACTAGCCATCACCTTCAGCCCCCAACTAAAACCCCTCCAACGCATTATTAAGGATCTACAACCTATCCTGAAGGATGACCCAACACTCTCACAAATCTTGGGAGACAGGCCAGTCCTTGCCTACAGACAGCCGCCCAACCTGAAGCAAATACTCACCAGCAACCACATACCACACAACAGAACCACTAACCCAGGAACCTATTCTTGCAACAAAGCCCGTTGCCAACTGTGCCCACATATCTATTCAGGGGACACCATCACAGGGCCTAATAACATCAGCCACACTATCAGAGGCTCGTTCACCTGCACATCCACCAATGTGATATATGCCATCATGTGCCAGCAATGCCCCTCTGCCATGTACATTGGTCAAACTGGACAGTCTCTATGTAAGAGTAAATGGACACAAATCAGATGTCAAGAATTATAACATTCATAAACCAGTCGGAGAACACTTCAATCTCTCTGGTCACGTGATTAGACATGAAAGTCGCTATTTTACAACAAAAAAACTTCAAATCCAGACTCCAGCAAGAAACTACTGAATTGGAATTCATTTGCAAATTGGATACAATTAACTTAGGCTACCTTTCATAATGACTAAACCACTCCCAGTCCCTATTCAAGCCTATTTCCCCTTGTTTTTTCCTACCCCCCACGTTCTTGTTAAACCCTGGATTTGTGCTGGAAATGGCCCAACTTGATTATCTCACACATTGTAAGAAGAGTGATCACTTTAGATAAGCTATTACCAGCAGGAGAGTGGGGTGGGAGGAGGTATTTTTTTCATGCTTTGTGTGTATATAATAAGATCTTCTAAACTTTCCACAGTGTGCATCTGCTGAAGTGAGCTGTAGCTCACAAAAGCTTATGCTCAAATAAATTGGTTAGTCTCTAAGGTGCCACAAGTACTCCTTTTCTTTTTGATATTGCAAAAGTTACTTAGTCTTATCTAAGTAGGATAAGATGTACTCCAAACACCTGTAACAACAGAACTGGTTGAAGGTAGACATTGACCCACTAGCCTTCAAACAAGAGATCTCCCTATACTGTATTGAAGTAATGACTCAAGTTCAGTGTGGGTATGGGAATATAGGCAACACCTAAAATTACAAGTGTGTGACATGTAGTATGTGTATTTATTTTAAAGATATTAAATTTCATGTATCAGTTTCACTTTTGTGGTAAATGTCTCACTGATGTCTGACGACTTGTCAGCAAAAGTAGTAAGTTACTGTTAATATATTTCCTCAGTGATGGGGATAAAGTTCTGAAAGCATCTGTTCAGTCCTCATTTTAACTATATTGTGGTGAAACAATGCTATAATGGTGGCTCTGCATCAAAAAAGGTGAAATACCCTACCCATCACCTTATACCACATCTTTGAAGAAATCTTCAACTAGTTTACTTCTGTATCCCTTTAAGGCTGACAAATTACTGCAGAAGTTTCCTTGGATCTGGGTAAGGAATGTGGAAAAACTAGAAATCTTTATTAAAATCTTATCTTCTGTCTCTACTTACCCCTTATTTGAGCTGCATTGTGGTAGTATGTTTACTAAAGTTTAGAGTGGGTAGTTTAATTCAGTTCTTATCACTAAACCTCCAGAGGGCTAGTCTGTAATTTGTGCTTCTATACCAGAATGAGAATGCAGGACTGAAGTGTGATAAGTACCTTAATAAGTTATTATAACCTGCTGATAGCTTGCTAAAACAGTATATAATCACTATAGTAGTATAAAATATCTATTAAAGGAGCTTGGCTGCACTGACTTCATATGCCCTTAGATAGATCACATGAATCAGCTCTTAGTGCATCATCTATTCTAGGACTACCACAATTCACTAGTTTAAGTGGTTCATGCTACAGCAGGATATTTAATCTAACCATTTGACAGACAATGTCCAGAGAAACTACCTCAACTGGACTCTAGATCAGAGCCACACATAACAAGTAGAGAGATATTTTACTCTTCCACCTCCAAAAAAGGTAAAGGCAAGGTTTTCAAACAAGTATTAAGTGATTCATTATTCTACAGTTATGAATATTAATTGTTAAACAAGGAAGCATACGGTAATTGAACATCAAAAAGCCTCAGTTGTGCTACTATCCTCCACAGTACAGTTGTTGCACTGCTACCTCAAATGGGGAGGTAGCAACTCCCTGCTGTATCAAGGCTTTTAAACCAAATCAGAGTTATTTGCTGCTGAAAGCACTACCTTGTCTCCCCTTTAGTTACTAATGCAGGAAAAGGTAAGATAATGAGGTTGGCATACCTTTTCCAAAAGCTGCTGTAACTTTCAAGTGTAGTAAGGAGTGTAGAGCAGCAGAGACATGATGGCTGAGGAGTCTTTGTACTGAAGCTGGTGAATGTCTAAGTTTTGCAAGCTGGGGCTTTACACTAGGCATTTGAAGGATATAGTTCCCAGCTCAGTTATTGCTGGCCATCAATAAACATCAAGAAACTACTTGTCCTCCTCACTAACATCTGTAGAACTGGTCCTGCTTACTGGGACTATAGCAGCCTCTGCCAGCACAACCCTCAAGAATCTATGTAGTATCTAGCATAATGGAAGCTCTATCATAGTAACTTTTTGTACATGAAATAGAAATGGATTAATATGTTCTATAAAATAGAGAAGGAAAGTGTACAGCCACTCTCATCCTTGGACCAGAACTACATGGTGATATTATCTGTTTACAAGGCTTTAGGTGAGAATAAGAAAAGCAACATACATCAGATGGATAAAAGTGTAGGCTAAACTCACAGGAATTACAGCTCCAACCTAACTTTAGTAATGGCAGTTGTACCTGTCTATGCCAGCAGTGAACTTTTCTACACTAACAGCTTTAGATAAAGTTTTGGGTTAGAGAAAATATGCTCACTTTCCATGGAAACAAGTGAGAAGGATTTCGTAAAGACCACAGTACAAGAATCAATATAGGGATAAGTGGGCTAGATGGCTATAAAACTATTAGAATAAACTCTTAAAGGTTGAGTATATCCAACAGTTTTATTAAAATGGAAAGCAGGTTTTTGGAAAGAAAATAAATACAAGAATGAATTTTTTGCTATTTTTTATAGCCACAATGAAAACAAACTAGTACAGAGGAGTCCCTGTCCATTACCACCACAACAAAAGGCTTGAAGAGCAAGGTGTGTTCCCTGGGGAAGGCTTAAGATTTCAGTCTCTATTTAGAGTTAGTGTGCAGTCCTGGAACCGGATGCAAGTTTGGATAGCACAGACTGTGCTCTAACCAGATTTGAAGAGGAGAATAGCAACTTGGCCTAGGTAGAAATAGATGAAGTGCTTAGTCTCATGAGTCACATAGCTGCCAAAGTTCCTTCCCACAATGCAGTGCCAAGTGGGGTTGTACTTCTTGTCAAACTCCTGGAAGAAAAAAAACAAAATGCACATTACTACTACAGCAGAACTGCCTTTCTTAGATAAAAAAGTTGCAGATTTTTTTTTAACTGCCATATTCTCACCTACATCTTTATATTAAGTGTAGAAACACTGGGAGGGGGGTGTGGTGGGGTAAGAACAGCATATCCTTTGCTCTGCATTAAGACCACAGCTTTGATAATAAGGGAGAGGTGGAATTGCTGACTTACCTTTATTGCCCAGTTGCTGGTTATTACATCATGAGACACCAGAAGTCATTTTCTTACTAAGTAGCTGCAGGAGTACAGGTAGGATTTTACTGCTGTGATAGTCTATATCTTTATATTCACCCCTTTCACAAGGCTGTTAAATTTTGTACAAAGCATACTATGTAAGGTATCATTTGAAAACTCATGATTTCCTGATGATTATTGTCCTGGTCAAAGGTGTGGCAAGACTGTAAAAGAAAACTCCACCATATGATATTGCCAAGGACATGTTCCAGCATGTTCTGGAACACAGTCACAAACAAGTTCCCCAGAGATAATAGGCTAGCCAATGCCTCAGCCAGGTGTCACCTAGCTCAAATGGACCACCCACCTGATTAAGTGGCCACTCTTTGGGGAATGGGGGGAAAAATCTACATTTTGACAAAGTAGTAGTATAAGGTTTCTGGCCACATATCAGCTGGACATGAGAAAGGGCTGTAAGAAGACAGACATCCCAAATCCTGTCTCTCTTACTCGCTACCCACAGCATCAAGCCCTGAAGAACAAAGGAAGCAGCACTGGACTGGGGGCTTGAAATCCTGACAAAGCGGTTCAGCCAGGAAGACTGCTAGTACTTGTGGTGAGAGAGACCTTTGCTTTGTATTCACTTAGCTTGTTAAGTTCGGTGTAGTTGTATTTTACCTTTTATTTCCTTGTAACCAATCCTGACTTATACTTGTAGTCACAATCTATTTTTCTATAGTTAATAGATTTGTTGTTTTATCTAAACCAGTGTGTTTGGACTGAAGTATTTGGGAAACTCCATTTGGGATAACAAGACTTGTGCATATCATTTTCTATTAATAAATGACAGACTTGATACGAGTTTGTATTGTCCAGGAGGGTGCTGGGCAGTACAACGCACATTTCTGGGGGAAAGTCTGGGTCTGGGAGTTTGCTGGTGTTGTCCTGCAGTGTAATTCATGGGTGGCTGCCTATAGCACTCATACAGTATGGCTGGGAGTGATTTATATGCTGGAGGCTGAGAGCAAGCAGATCAGGAGTGGTTGCTCTCACAGCGAAACAGAGTTTATAAAAGACACCCCCAGGTTAGGGAATTGAGGGGACAGCTGTTCATCAGTCCAGATTGTACTCTGGTTAATGTCAACTGCCCACCTGCCAACTCTTGCATGACTCAAGCCCGTTTACTAGGTGTACATATTCTTCCCTTCCATCCAAGAATCTAGCACATCCTCCTAGTAGATCCTTAGCACAATAACTTTCAAGCTATGGATCTCAACCAGCAATAGGGCAACGCCCTTGCTAGTGCTCTGCAAAAGAATTTTGGAAGTCAAGCAGTAGAGGAATTGGGTATGGAAGAGGGGTGACACAGGATCTCAAACAGGCGCACACAATGAAAGTGCAGAGTACTTAAGAGGCATTCCAGTGAGTCCATTATGCTAGTCTGTATTATCCTAGTTCATAAGAGAAAACAGTGAGTTGATCCACAGAGGGAAAGAGCATAACAAGCCCTAATACTCTATTCTTAAAAAAAGAAAAGCCCTCACTTCATTTAATAGACCAAATTTATTCACAAATTAGTACTGTTTTACAGTTAGACACTTTGGCTAGCAAAACTTGAGTCAGACTAATGTGATGACCAGAAAGTCAGACTGGTTAAGAAGTGCTTTATACAAATATCCATGCCCAACAGTCCTGAAATTTAGAGCTTTGGGCCAAGAAAGGTATACAGCTGTTTTGTATTTGATTATTATATTAAGCCTCTTGGCTAATTTCTATTTCCAATATTTCTGTCATCACATCCCCTCCCTGTCCACTGCCATTGGGAAGTTATACTGAAGTTTGACAAAGATATAGAATTGTTTTGTGGTAAATTAAACTGATGTTTCTGCTTCAGTTATTTTTAAGTGGTACATTCACCATAGGGAAGAAAATCTATACTTGTTTCTACATCTCAAGCAGGAGTGGGTTTTTTTAAATAAGTTTGCTATTCTCATTGGAAATTGCTAGCAATAAGTTGAACCAACTCAGAAGACAGTTTAAGGAGAGCACTTGACTGACATTAGGTTTTATATGTTGTCAATGATTGCTGCTTATATGTCTGTTCCACTCAGCATAGTCTCAATTCAATTCAACCTTCCCACTCTTATGGCAGGCCAGCGTCTTCCATTAGCGCTGCCAATTCAGCAAACTGCAGAAGTATGAAAAATGGTAAACTATAGTTTCCTCTCCCAACTTTGCTCAGTGGGCAACATCTATGTGCAGCTTCTCCCAATAGCTCCCCTGCTGTTAGAACAAGCATATGGCTAAGATAAGAAAAAAAAATAACCAAAAGGAAAGAAAAAACAGTTACCAAACCCAAGAACAGTTATATATGACACAGATCTTCACAAGAGTTGTATAACATAAAATTACTTTGCAAATGAAAGCCTTTGTATACAAATTCAGATGAGCTGAGCACCTAGTAAGGCTTCACCTTTTCCTCTAGAGTTCCCTTCTGGCAGCACTCCCCTCATACTAGATCAGGGGTCTCAAACTCCCAACCCACAGGCCATTTGCGGCCTGCGAGCCTCCCTAATGTGGCCCGCAGGGCTCCAGCAGTTTTGGGGCCAGGTCTCTCCCTTGGCCCCACCTGCCGCCCCCAGGCACTGCCCCCCACAGGGGCCCCGGCAGCACAGCAGAGCTGAGCAACATCTGCCTGCTCACTCCAGTGGCTGCTGGCCCTGTGGCCACAGGGCAGGGCTGTGCCTCCACACACTGCCCCTGCCCCAAACGCCCCTGCAGCCAATAAGAAGCTGCGGGGGCAGTGCCTGGGGGAGTAGCAGCATGCAGAGCCGCCCCCCCCCCACCTTGGAGCCCCAGGTAAGCACCACACCCCCATCTCAGAGCCTGCACCCCACCCCTTTCCCAAACACTCCCTCCTGCCCGCAAACTCCCTCCCAGAGCCTGCACCCACACAAACCCCAGCCCCAAGCCTGCACCTAGCACCCAAACTCCAGCCCAGACCCTGCATCCCAGACCCTCTTCCCCACCCAAACTCCCCTCCAGAGCCTAACCTCTCATCCCTTCTGCACCCAAACTCCCTCTCAGAGCCTTAGGCAGGTGGGAGGCAGAGGTCTTTTGGGGGGGTGGGTTCTGGGCAGCATTAGTGACATTATTGGCCTGCTGGGAGGATTTGAGGACTGGCACTGGCCCTAAGGTAAATTGCATTTGAGACCCCTGTTCTAGATTCTAAAACATGCATATCCATCAATAGAGGGAAAAGGCTATTACAACAGGCATTTACCTTCTTTATATGAGCTGCAATATCCTTCTCGATGTTATATTTCTCCAGGGCCTGAGTGGCACACTCCACTGAATCTTGCTGCATCTCTTCAGACATATCCGCATTCTTGATCACAGCCTTTCGATCACACATGGTTACCTAGGGAGCACGCACACACAAAATAATCTGACAGCAGTAGGAGCATCCACCATCCAAAACTCCCACAGACAATCTGTTTAATAGGCTTGGTCTTGTACAATGCATGATTTATGGTCACTGTCTTCTAGCTTAAGAACATTGGCCCAGTCTTAATGCAAAACACATCTCCTCAAAGCATGAGTAAGTCAGCTCTACAGCCAGTGACAGAAGTTATACAGACAGTGAAGTAAACGGAATGTAGTTTTTCAGCTGTAGTATTTTCAGACCAGTTACTTCAGCTGAAACAGAGAGAGAGGAAAGCATAGCTGGGAGCATTTTCAGTTTCTCTAATCATGATCTCTTTCCCAAGAGAGAATCTGTAGAATTGCTTTTTGGCTTTTCAACTAACCTAAAGCTTATCAGTCTGTATAGCTCAATGGTTCTCAAACTTTTATACTGGTGACCCCTTTCACATCGCACTCAGAGGTTTGCAACTACCCTTATAAATTAAAAGCACTTATATATTTAACACCATTTTAAATGCTGGAAGCAAAGCAGGGTTTGTGGTGGAGGCTGACAACTCGTGACCCCCCCCCCCACGTAATAACCTCACGACCCCCTGAGGGGTGCCGACCCCGTTTGAGAACCCCGGTATAGCCAGTACCATGAAGGGATGGACTCCACCTAGTAGCCCTTCATCATAATTTGCGTGCAAATAGAGACCCTGAGTAGTTTAAAATACTATACATTTTCAGGACATGAAATTCAAAGCCGGAATATTTTTAGTGAAGATAGAGATGCTAGAAAATTCTGTGTAATTTCCCTGGCACAGATAAGCTACGGAGTAGCGGTCCCAGATATGCTGGCTCTTTGGGAGCGTCCACTGACAGTCCTGCCATGCGTCCTCAGTCTCATTTTGCCAGACAAATCTTCATGTTTGGGGTTTTTTTAGAAGCACCGAAAAAAACCAAAATACTTCCATCGGCACCCTCCCCCCCTTGCCCAATGGGTGGTCTTCCCCTTCCCCACCCCGCCCAATCGGTGGCCTCCTCCCGCCCCGTCACCTTCCCCGCCCAATCGGTGGTTCCCCACCCCGCACCACCACCCCGGGGACCCTCGCCCAATCGGTGGTTCCCCACCCCTCACCCCCCACCCCACCCCGGGGACCCTCGCCCAATCGGTACTTCTACCACTCACCCCCTTCTACACACAGAATCACAGCACCCTCCCCCACGCCCAATGGCTTCCCACCCCCACCCCCCACGGCTCACAAGAGCCCAC